TGCTCTCCGGGGCGGGCGGGTTGGAGCGTGAAGGCCCCTCTGGGACACCCAGCAAGGATGGGCCCAGCTCCCTTCCACCCACCGCAGCAGCCTTGGCTCTCACAGACCACACGCAATGCCCAGACATTGTCATGACAGAAGATGGCACCTTCCAGAGCCTTCTAGAAAAAGGAGTTGCTGAAAGGAAGCCTCTAGGGGTGGGGCAAGCCCCGCCTCGGGCAGGGAGAGGTGTCTCAGGCTCCGGAGTCCCCTGGCACCTGCAGAGGAGGCCCTGGGAGTACCGGGCCCCATCAGCAGGGTAGCACCGCTTGCAAATCATCCCCTCCATCTCTCTGTAAACGTTCCGGCAAGTCTAACATTTGGCAACCAAAGTACATATCCCAGACGGCCGTGTGAACCTAGGACAAGTGCCAGCATTTGTCTTGAGGCCCCGTAGGGTTTGGAAAACAGGATGACTCAGCGAGTCAGTGGAGGAGAGTGACATTCATTAGGCACCTATGACAGAGCGCATGTTGTGTCAGACGTTCTATCTGTACCATGAGATCTCAGTTCTGATAACAACCCCATTTTACAGATGGAGAAACTGAAGCTCACAGTGGGGAGGTAACATACCCAGGGACACAACAGAGCTGGGAGTCAAACCCCCGCCTGGTTTTGCCTCCACAATCCTAGCAGTCCCCACTCCACTGTGCTGTTCTGCCGGGATGTCTCCCTGGCTAACATCCCTCCGAGACCTTGGTCCTTGCCTCAATCCCAGGGGCCCCTTCTCGATACTAACCCAGGTTCTCAGGGCCAGGGGTGTGAGGAAGGGAACTGGAGTGGAGACTAATGTAGTCTGGCGTCTAAGGGTCTAGTCCACATTGTGGAATCGTTATTTTAGCCCCCACCAATCTGATCATAGCTGGGGGGCAAGTAGGTTGATAAATCAGTTTTCTGTCTTTTTGGGGGTAAGATTTTGTTTATTTATTTATCTACCTATTTATTTGTTGGTTGGTTTATTATTTTATTTGTTTATTTGACAGAAAGAGACAGCGAGAGAAGGAATACAAGCAGGGGGAGTAGGAGAGGGAGAAGCAGGCTTCCTGCTGAGCAGGGAGCCTGAGGCGGGGCTCCATCCCAGGACCCTGAGATCATGACCTGAGCTAAAAGCAGACGCGCTTAACGACTGAGCCACCCAGGCGCCCCGATAAATCAGTTTTCCGAGCCTGCCAAGCTGAAAGCCAGCCACCAGCCTGAGGTGAACCTGCCCTCAAGAAGACCCCTAGGAACCCAGCCTAAGCTGGCACCTGGGCTAAGCCCCTTATCTTTGGGTCATTGTTGCCCACTCCTGGCTATAGCCTCCTCCCAACCTCCCCCAGCCCCCCACTCACTTGCAGGGTGCTGGCACTCAGCCAGGTGGTGGGGGCGGGGGGAGACATCACACAAACCTTTTGGAAACCTCTTCCCCTCCCCTCTCCAGATTCCCCAGAATTCCTGGGTCAGCAACATGGCTGCGTGCTGGGAGGTAGGGGAGAGTCTCAGCCATACCTCTCATGGGCAGGCCCCCTGCTCCGTCTGCACAGCTGCAGGGAAGGAAGGCCCCACCTGAGTTCCCAGTGCCCCGAAACAGCCACCCGGCTGTGGCCTTCCTTCTGCCCATCAGGGGAGGGGCCCCTGGCGAGGGGGAGGAGGAGCATCCAGAGCCTGCCCTGCACCAGAGCTATCCTTCTGCTCACACCCTTCCTCAAACCATCTGAGAGGCAGGCCCCCTGCTCTCTGTCCTCAGTGCGGCCAGATCACAAGCAAGAGGGACTTGCCCGAGGCCACGTGGCCAGGCAGGGGTGGGCATCACTCCAGGGCCTGGCAGACTCCAGAGCTGGGGTCGTTTCTCCAAGTACAGTGCGGTGGTCAAGGTGTGGATTCTGGAGTGAGACCGCTGGACTCAGGTTCTGGCACCTCCACCTGCTCAGGGGTCACCTGGGGCTAGTTACCCAAACTCTCTGTGCCTCAGTATCCTCATCTAAACAGTGTTGTCAGGGAATCCCGAAGTCTGAGCCCTGGGTGAGTTGCACGGCCTTGGGTGAGCAACAACCTGCTGGTGCCTCAGTTTACCCCAACTTAAAACGGAGACCTTGATACACATCCAGCACGGGCTGGTATGAGGATTAAGAAAAGACAACCGTGCATCTAGAGCTTTCCGGCAGGTGGTGCCACGGGGCCTGCTGATTGTTTGGGGGTGTTATGGTCAAGGTGCTATCATCCAGACCAGCTCTGGAAGGACACACAAGAAAGGGTCTCAGAGGGCAAGGAGTGGGTGCTGGGGAGCCCTAACTTGTTCCTACATGTCGTTTTATACTTTCAGAATTTTGTATTACATACACGTGTTATTACTATTTCCGAAGCAGGTTGCATAACAGCCATACAAAGGTGCTCCCTTGCCATGATGCACGGTCTCATGCTACCAGAGACCCCATCTGCTGGTCCTGGGTTTCCCACCCCTCCAGCGCCACACCTGGGCCTGGTGCAGGCCCTGTCTTTCAGCCCACTCTGTGTCTCCCAGCAAGGCCCCAGCACAACCTTAAGAGCCAGAGGCGTCTCCTTCCGAGCACAGGCGTGTGACCTGGGCCAGCCGAGTCTCCACCCCTCCACCTGTCCCCTGGCTCACCTATAAGTGAGGCGACCACACTGCCCCACACTGCCTCCCCAGCTGTAGGACTAACACGAGGTACTAGAGGGGCGCCTGGCTGGCTCAGTCATTGGAGCATGGGACTTTTGATCCCAGGGTCATGAGTTCAAGTCCATGTTGGGCATAGAGCTTACCTAAAAAAATCAGGTATGGGGCGCCTGGGTGGCTCAGTGGGTTAAAGGCCTCTGCCTTCGGCTCGGGTCATGATCCCGGGGTCCTGGGATCTTGCCCCGCGTCGGGCTCTCTGCTCTGGGGGGAGCCTGCTTCCTCCTCTCTCTCTGCCTGCCTCTCTGCCTGGTTGTGGTTTCTCTCTGTCAAATAAATTAAAAAATATTTTTTAAAAAATGAGGTATTAGACTGCTAGGTACAAAGCCTTACTACCTGTCCTCTGAAAGGGCAAAATGATGTTGAAGGGAAGCCGCCTCTTCCTCTGAGCTCATCTCCCCACAGAGCCTCTCCCACCCCTGCAGGTAGACGGCAAACCTCCCAAGGCAATGGGCCTCTAGGCCTTGGCATTTGCCAGTCCTCTCTGGGCAGACCCCTCCCTCATCTCCGGGAGGCTGGCTCCTTCACATCACTCACTTTCTCCCAAGTGTTGCCTCTTCACAGATGCCCTCCTAGACCACCTGTCTAAAGTGGTCCCCACACCCCCCTCTAACTTATCCCTGTTTGTTTTCTGCCTGGTACTTACCATTACCTGAAATTTTAAAGATTTCATTTATTTATTTGACAGAGAGAGAGAGAGAAAACACAAGCAGGGGAGCAGCAGAGGGAGAGGGAGAAGTAGGCTCCCCAGCTGAGCAGGGAGCCTGATGCAGGGCTCGATCCCAGGACCCTGTGATCATGACCTGAGCCGAAGGAAGATGCTTAATGACCGAGCCACCCAAGCAGCCCTGAAATTGTGTTTTTTTAAGTGAACTCTTTTAGAGGGAATTTTAGATTCACAGAAAAATTGCAAAGACAGTACAGAGGGTTCCCGTCTACACATCACCCAGTCTTTCTCATGTCACCACGTCACCTAACCTGACCACTGTACAGCTGTCAGAACTAAGACACTAACCCAGAACATCACCATTAACTAAACTGCAGACTTCGTTCCAATGAGATTGTACTTCTCCTTTATTTATTTACTAGTTTTCAACTGCCGCCCCCACCCCCGGAAGGAAAACTCTGAGAGGCAGGGAGGTGGCTGTACATAACTCACCACCAAGTCCCTCAGACCTGGCAATAAACAGTGATCGGTAAAGGGAGGGCCGATGGTTACTGAGGACTCCCTCTGCCACGCACTGTTCCGAGTGTACTAAACGTTGTAATCATTTAATCCTCAGGACAGCCCACGAGGTAGCTACTAATTATGGGGAAACTGAGGCACGGCACAGTTTGGTGGCAGGCCAAGGCCGCACAGGTCGTTAGCACCCGAGAGGATGGACTCTGGGGCTGCCCTCCGTGCCAGAATGAACGCAAGTCCTTCTGTGTCCTCAGTCCACATCAGAGCAGGGGGCCCAGCGCCCTTCTGTGGGCAGGACACTGAGGCCCCAGGGCAGCTGATTTGCCTGAAGCTCCAGGATGGACTGGGGCACAGGGCAGGGATGGAACCTGAGCCTGCTGCCTCCAGCTGGCTGCCCTGGAGCTGTGACTCCCCCAGCTCCACTCCCAGGGCCGCCATCTACGGGCTCCACCCTGCTGCAGGTAAACAGGCGGCTGGTTCGTGGGCTCTCTCCTGCACCCCCCGACTTCCCAGAGGGGCACTGAGATCCCCCATCACCTCCCTTTGCCCATAGCCTTAGCCACGGCCTCCAGGATCTGACCCCTGGAGAGGCGGGGGCGGAGGACGGGCCCTCTCCATCCTAGAGGAGGCCGCCTTCTCAGGGGGCTAGCTGGGCTCTGGGGCAGGGAGGGAAAGAAAGAAATGGTCATCCCTGCCTGGATGGGGGTATGGGGAGGAGTGGAGCAACAGGGAGGGTTATGGGGCTTTTCCCAACACCCTGGGACCAGCCAGAGAGGGGTCTGGGCACCTCCCAAAGGGAAAAGCCGCTCTGGAGCCCTTGGACCGGACCAAGGCCGGCCGCCCCCATCCAGCCTGGGTTCCGCCCAGCGCCAGCCTGGCGCAGACTCCAAGCCCTAATAATGTTTGCTGGATGCTTTGAATACAAGCGTCAGTGCCCAGAATCTCCTTGAGGTTTCAGCCAGGCGTGCCCGCCCCATCCCCCCTTCTGGGGAGCAGCATAAGTATGGGGGGGGCGTGTGACAGGGGACACCATGAGGTGGTGGCAGCCTCCATGAGAGAGGCAGGCTGCTCCACCCAGAGCTGGGGGTAGGGGCGCCTTGTGCGCGGCTAATTAAACAGTGACTGTGATGAATCGGGGAGAGGCTGCTGCTTGCTAATTAAAGGTGCGGGCGGCTTGCCTGGCAAGGGGGGAAGGCAGGAGCAGCTCTGGAACCATGTCAAGAGGCCAGGCCGGCAAGGACAGCACCGGCTCTGGGCATCCCTTCCATCCTCGGGCCCTCCCAGCAGGGCCCCATGGCCCCCTCCCCACTTCCCTATCTCTCCTACCCACCTTGAGGAGCCTGGGGCCTCAGACTTCCCCCTCCCCACCAACCCAAATTGTGCTCCTGATAAGGGCCCAGGCGTTGGGGAGGAGGAGCCTGCTGGTGCCCAAGGTCTGGGCTGGTGAGAGAGCATCTTTCTGAACCTCTGAGGTTCACTTCCTTTCGCCCCACTCCCAAGAACCCTGAGTTGGGCGAATGAACTCCATCAAGATGGGAGGTGGGCTGGTGTGAACGAGGCCCCACGATGACTTCTGGAATGACAGATTCTGGGCCTCACCCAGTTTCCCTGTTGTAACACACCTGACGTTAGCTGGGGTCCTGCTCTAACCCCCATGCCCCGCCGGTGTGTGAGAGAGAGAAAGACAGAGGTAGAGAGACCATGTTCCTTTCTGGTCTCAGCACACAAATCTAGAAAAGGAAGACGGGAAGCAAGGATGTCTGGTCCTCAGAGTTCCTAGATAGTAGACAATAAGAGCCCTGAGTGCCTGCCCCTGCCGGGCATCTGGTCAGGGCAGGGCGTGGATCCGTGGCTAAGAGCACCCCCACCCTGGGGCCAGAGCTCCCAGTCCCAGCCCCACCACTTGCCAGCTGTGTGGCCTTGGGCACAGTAACTAATTGCTCTGGAGCCTTGGGCTCCCCGTCTGCAAAGCTGAGCATGGGCGATGCTGCTACGCAAAGGGTCGCTGAGGGGACCAAGAGAGAGAATCCAGGTGAGGCACTTAGCACAATGTCTGGTCCACAGAACAGGCCCCCAAATGCCAGCTGTTATTATATAAAAACTCGGGGGACTCCGGTAGGTGTGGCCCAGTGCCCACCTCTTCCAGGTGACCTCCTTATTGACAGCACAGCTGAGTCCTCTCAGAACAATTCTATCGGACACAGCAAGAGCATGTCACCCTTCCCACCAGGGCTCTCATGTCCTCTCTGACCCCTATAACCTTCTGAGGAAAGTAGAAGAGTCAAGAAGCAAAAACAATGGGTGCTCAGAAAGCTAAGTGACCTGCCCCCCAAGTCAAACAGCTCAGCAAGGGCCAGAGACGGCCCTGGTCCCTTGAGTGGGAGGAGAAGATGGGCTCAGGGTTCCCATGGCAACATCTGTTGAGCTTCTAGTGGATGCCAAGTCCTGAACCAGCCACAGGGACCTAGGAGAACTGGACACTCACTCTTGCCTTCAAGAGGACCCAGTCTGGAAGGAGGGAAAACACACCAATAAGGGGAATGCAAGGCAAAGGTGGCAGGCATCCAAACAAGGGCCTGAGAGCGGCTGCTTTGACGGGGAGCTCCATTTGAAAGCTAAGGTTGCTTTCTGTTGGGAGGGTAACGTCAGCATTGGGGGAGCCTGGAGAGGGCTGATAGGGCCCCTCTGGTGCTCCCAGGAGAAGCCTTCACAAAGGCATAGATACTCAGCTCTGGGAAGTGCCTATGTTACCTGCTTCTGAGGTTTGGGGTCTGTCACTTGAGGTATCTGGGAGTCCCAGATGATGTGGTTTCAGATACTACACTGTCCAGGACCCACAGCAAGAATCCATCCATGTCCTAAAGAGGGCCTCTCTACTGCCATGCAATGCAGTAGGGAAAGGATGCAGTGCCTATAAGGGGCCCAGGGATAGTAGAAACCTTTCCAGGCTGAGAAACTCAAGGCCATTGGCCCTGATGTTGGACACCTGGACCTTAGGCAGCCAACCCAAAGCAGGCAAGAACGAGCGCAAGGTCACTGGCCTTGGGTGTGATGTCTCCATCTTCCCTCCTCAGAGATCAGGACTCAGCCAGAGGAATGGGGCAAAGGGCCCCAGGCAGGTCTAGCCACAAGGAAACCCCAGCAAGCAAAGCTAGCAGTTCCTTAAAAACACAACCAGCCTCAGCCTCCCCGGGGCTCCCTGCGCCCTAGCTGGGCCAAATGCTGGTCTGCTGCGCCCTCTGGTGGCCACGTGGGGCCGTGGCAGACGCAGCAGCAGGTTTAAGGGTGGGTGGTCAGACTTGGACAGGTCAGAGTGGACCACCTCAACCACTGCACAGATAGGAAAACCAAGGCCTGGGGGCTGTGGGGGAGGGAGTAACTTGCCCAAGGTCATGCGAGTAACTTGCCCAAGGTCATGCGAGTAACTTGCCCAAGTCAGTAGCCAAGCCCAGAACAGAACCCAGACCTCCTTCACCAGTGGCTGCTCTTGCTGGGTCTCCCCTTCCCATCAGGGGAAGGAAGACTGAGGGTTCAGGAGGCTCACTCCTCAGTGACCATGGACAACTGGATGGTAGGCAGCTGAGCCTATGATAGGGTACACAGCACTTCCCCAATCTGGCTTTGGGCTCTTCACCTCCAAAACCTGGAGCTACTGGCAAGGGCTATGGGGACTGGGGGGCCCTCTCATACACTGCTAATAGTGAAGCTATAAGCAGCCAACTTTTCAGGAAATCCTAAAATGAGCCTTACAGTGAGTATTGGGTATCATACTAACTGTGAAAGACTGGGTGTTTTCCTGAGATCAGGAACCAGAAAATGATGTCCACTCTTGCCACTTCTTTTTTTTTTTTTAATATGTTATTTATTTATTTGACAGAGAGAGACACAGCGAGAGAGGGAACACAAGCAGGGGGACTAGGAGAGGGAAAGAAGGCTTCTTGCTGAGCGGGAAGCCCGATGCGGGGGCCCGATCCCAGGACTCTGGGATCATGACCTGAGCCGAAGGCAGATACCCAAGGACTGAGCCACCAGGCGCCCCCACTCTTGCCATTTCTATTCAACATTGTACTGGAAGTTCCAGCCAGGGCACTCAGACAAGGGAAAATAAAAGCATCCAGATTGCAAAGGAAGAAGCAAAACTATAGTTTCACATGGCATGATCTTGTAAATAGAAAATCCTAAAGAATCTACACATAAAAAGTTAGAACTAATAAATGAGTTCAGCAAGGATGCAGGATACAAGATGAATATACAAAAGTCAATTGTGTCTCTGTGCACTTGGCAATGAACACTTCAAAAATGTAATTAAGAAACTAATTTCATTTACACCACAAAGAGGATAAAACACTTACAAATAATTTAACAAAAGAAGTATAAAATTTATACTCTAAAAATTACAAAATATTGTTGAAAGAAATTAAAGAAGACCTAAATACATGGAAAAACATCTCATGTTCATGGATCTGAAGACCCAGAACTGTTAAGATAGCAAGACTCCCAAAATCAATCTTCAGATTCAACCCCATCCCCCTCAAAATTCCAACTTGCTTCTTTGCAGAAATTGACAAGCTGATCTTAAAATTCTTATGGAAATTCAAGTGACCCCAAATACCCAAAACAATACTGAGAAAAAGAAGAACATTCTTGGAGGACCCTGAGGAAGTTTTCTACAAAGTTACAGTAATTAAAACAGTGTGGTACTGGCACAGAGATAGATGCATAGATTAATAGAATGGAATCAGAGTCCAAAAATAAACCCTCACACTTACAGAAAATTGATCTTCAACAAGAGTGCCCAGACAATTCAGTGGGGAAAAGACAGGCTTTCCAACAAACGGTGCTGGGGTAATTAGATACCCACATGCAAAAAAGAGTCTGGGCATCTTCCTTACACCCCACACAAAAATTAACTCGAAACTGATCTTTGACTCAAATATAAGCATTAAAACTATAAAACCCTTAAAACAAAGCATAGGCTTAAATCTTCATGACCTAGGATCAGCCAATAAGAAGACACAAAAGCATAGAAAAGAAAAAAAAAACAGGTAAATTGGACGTCATCAAAATAACAAACTTCTGGGCTACAAAGGACATTGTTAAGGAAGTGAAAAGACAGTGTGCCTGGCTGACTCAGTTGGTAGAGCCTGTGACTCTTAATCTCAGCATTGTCAGTTTGAGACCCATGTTGGGTATAGAGAGTACTTAAAATAAGATCTTTTTAGGAAAGAAAGAAAGAAAGAAAGGAAGGAAGGGAGGGAGGGAGGGAGGGAGGGAAGGAGGAAGGAAGGAAGAAAGAAAGAAAGTGAAAGAACATAGAATGGGAGAAAATATTTGCAAACCATGTATCTGATAAGGAACTGTAACCAAAATACATAAATAATTCTTTCGGGGTGCCTGGGTGGCCCAGTTAAGCATCTGTCTTCAGCTCAGGTCATGATCCCAGGGTCCTGCTCCCTGCTCAGCGGGAAGCCTGCTCCTCCCTCTCCCACTCCCCTTGCTTGTGTTCCCTCTCTTGCTGTGTCTCTCTCTCTGTCAAATAAATAAATTAAATAAATAAATAAATAAATAATCTTTTAAAAAAAATTCTTTCAATGATTAAAGAAAATTACCCAACTTAAAATGGGCAAATCGGAATAAACATTGATCCAAAGAAAATAATACAAATGGTCCATAAGCTCATGAAAAGATGCCAAAGATCACTAGCCATCAGGGAAATGCAGCAAAACCAGGAGATGCTACTTTGCGCACACTAGGTTTGCTATCCTCAAAAAGACAGTGCTGGCAAGGATGTGGAGAAGTCAGAACCGTCCCACACTACTGGTAGGAAGGTAAATGCTGGAGCCGCCTTGAAAAACAGTCTGGGAGTTTCTCAAAAGATTAAATAGAATTACCATGTGACCCAGCAGTTCCATACCTGGGAGGTAGAGATCCAAGACAAATTAAAATATACGTTTACCCCAAAATTTACATGAATGCTCACAGACGCATAGTTTGTAATAGCTAAGAAAGTAGAAACAAGGGGCACCTGGGTGGCTCAGTGGGTTAAAGCCTCTGCCTTCAGCTCAGGTCATGATCTCAGGGTCCTGGAATCGAGCCCCGCGTCGGGCTCTCTGCTCAGCAGGGAGCCTGCTTCCCCCTCTCTCTCTCTGCCTGCCTGCATCTCTGCCTGCAACTCTGCCTACCTGTGATCTCTGTCTGTCAAATGAATAAATACAATCTTTAAAAAAAAAAAAAAAGAAAGTAGAAACAACCCAAGTGCCCATCAACTGATGAATGGATAAATAAAATGTGGTCTATCCACACACAGAAATATTATTCAGCAACAAAAAGGAATTAAATACTGGGGTGCCTCGGTGGCTCAGTCATTTAAGCATCTGTCTTCAGCTCAGGTCATGATCTCAGGGTCCTGGGACTGAGTCCC